GCTGGGAGCGCTTCCGCCCCGTCTCAGTGCCTCGCCTGCAGCCTATACAATCCATTGCGTGCCCATGCCCACTACCTGGTTCTGACTCGAAAGATTGCCCCTCACCCTGATAAAGCTGGTGACGCCGCAGACTGTGAGCACCAGGCAAGTTTTAGCGCACGTGCTCAGGTCTTCCTCCGACCCGGCAAGATCGTGGCCCTTTGGCGCCTCGGCTCTGAAACTTCATGCGTAAGACGCGCATTGCTCACAGGCGGAGCTCGTAGGGACAGCTGCCGTTACAACCCAGGAACGAAGCCCACGGTCACTTCATGCGAATGAACGGTCACCATGACAAGATGGACTCTGCTGGCAAGACTCTCGGCAAACTTGGAGTATGCCTGGCAGATAGGATAGGCGGCAATGTCCAGATTTTCAGGCCCAAAAGTTGTTGTCCGGTTGTGTTCCGACAGCATTCTTTAAGACAACTCCAGTAAGCTACACCCAAATCACTGCTCCACAATGTAGTCCCCTTCGAGGAAGCACCTCCATCATCTTCCCTCGAACTGGAATTGGGAGCTGTTCCGGGCCCGGAGCTCAGCGACGGCACGACGTCATACATGTTAAGGTGCAAGGTGCCCGCAGCCAAGACGTTGTAGTCTGTGCGCACACATTCCTAATGCGGCTCGGGCTCTTCTATCATTGGGGTGAAGAATTTGTGGGCTTTAGTGTGTCGGTGGTCAGACAAGTCATCATAGCGTTTGCTCCTGAAGAGTTCTACTTAGTAATATAGGTGTACCGGATAAGGTTCTTGTAGGCCGATTATATGAGCCAACCTAAGTCCTCTGAAGCGGCGATATTTCGGTGTTAAAGGCTCCCTAGACCTGAATTTCCAGATGAGTGAGGGCCTCCTACAGGCTCCCTAGACCTGAACTTTCAAGACAAGTGAAGGCTTCCCAAGGGCCCAAGCAGCTAGATGATTTTTCCCGGGTTTGAAAATATCATTGCCAGACAGTTGAGGGCTTCCCAGGAGCTTCCTAAACCAGAAGTTGCAGAGCATGAGGGGGCCTGTGTGCACGAAGCTTACCTGGCACATGCGCCGTGATGTCCGATAAAGGTCGTGGACGCTGGTTATGGCCAAATTGCCTTGCACAACGCGGCCAGCAACCGTTTCATCAAGATGGGCAGCGAGCCTTGTGCCTGATGGGCAGTGGCTAGAAGGATTTTTGTTTCAGACATGGATTGCTGGGCGGGGCCTTGTGGGCCGGTGTACCCTGCAATTTTGGAATGGGCAGCTCAGCTGACGAATCTGCAGCCTCCTAAAGCGTCCCAACATCAGCTGTCGATTTCTGAGGACATGATTCGCTCGCCTACAAAGAACTGGAATGAGTTGTTCCCTGGTTGAAATTGTATCAATGGCAGACGAGACGGTTTTTGGTCGAAGCATTCCAGATCTCTTGCATGTTACGCCCGCTACTTTACGGTTCAGAAGCTAGACGCAGGCATGTTTTTGCAGTTGTGAAACATTCCGCACGAGGTCTTGACCCCCATCTAAGGCCTGGTGGCTGGAGTGCGGAGCGCTTCACGGTCATCGACGCAGGTGCGCGCTGTGGCGCCTGTAGCGCCACAGGAAGTGAGAAACTGGGATACTTTGGGCAAACCACTGGCATGCAGAACATCCCCAGAAGTCTGCAGTCGATATCATGAAATCCAATCAGAAATCGCAGAGAAATCGCAGAGGCAGCAACCGCATTGCCTTGCACCATGCTGGGCACAACCGCACCTTGGAGATGCATTCATGAAGGGACCAGGATCAGGACCGACTCATGGTGGTTGTGCTGCGGTTCTCCAGCACAAGCAACTCAAGTACTCGGCCTACGCTGAAATGGAAATGGGGGGGAACCCTAAACCATCCAAGACGAATCTCCCGATGCAACCGGCATCTGTAAATTCCTCACCCAGGCTTCGTTTCCATGTGCCATCACGGCGATGGGTGCCTAAGTCCTCACAAGGCACTGGGCCCTGGGCAGATTTGTCCTTGACGGATGTTACAAACACCGATTTCAGACGTTCATGGTTCATGCCATTGCTGTGTCAGCCTGTAGAGAGAGGTACGGTTCAAGAAGCATGTTCAGCCCCGATTACCCGGTAAAGGATAAAGTCACCTGAGTACGGCTAGGCTCCGGACGCTCTCCCAAGCGGTTGGACGTGGCCGCTGCCTCAAACTCCTTCAGAGCTATCTCGCACCTTGCGCTGAGCCCGGTGTGCACTGAAGGCAGATGTTCCACTGGCTTGAGGCTTGGGCCTGTCGGATGCGGGGCTTCGTGAATCTGTTTGAGACTTTCTGAACCTCAATTTCATATTTCCATAAGCTTTGCAGCCGCATAGCCCACAAAGAACAACCTGAAGCGTCTGAGCTGGGACATCAGAGTCTGAGAACATCTGAAAACACATTGGGGCCAAAGTTGGCCTGGCCAGGTGAAGCCTTGCCACACTGGTGGTCGCGCTCACTGCAAGACGTGCCAGACTCCGTGGAACCGGAAGGTCGGGGATCCGGCTTTCAGAAGGTTTGACTTTCCGCTGTGTGCTCCCCACTGATGCTTTCATTCGACCTTGCTCTTAGCCCAACTCAGGTGAACAATCATTGCGCCAGCTGCAATTCTGGCTATGCGATGATTGGCAACCACTGCCAGGACAGTTCCTTTGCCGTGTTCTTTTTGATCGTGGCTTCAACGTTTTGGTGGTTTTCCTCTCCCATGTTGTTGAAAAAAGCATGAGCTTCTGAGTTGGTGCTTCAGATTCTTCGGAATGTCCTACAATTGTATCTCTCTGCCATGAAACAAAAACTACAAGATTTTTAACGTTTGGGAACCTCGGGAAGGTGGAGGGTTGCCGCCTGTCGCGGTAATGCCTCAGTCCGAGGAATTTTAAAACCCTAAGTGTTTCACTTTGATGCTCTTTTTGCTGGAGAGATTTGAGCATCAGCCTCCGGAAACCTCGGAGTCGACTGGACAAGCAAGATCAGGTAAAGCCGAAGTGAGATTAAGGGAGGGTTTGTGGTTTAGGGTTTAGGTGTCCCACCCCACGTGCATCTGGAATCTAGAATGATCATGCAAGCAACTGATGCTGTAAGAGTAAGACGGAGCCATTTTTTTGACCACACGGATCCACCAGCCGTTGTAAATAAGTTGCTGACGTAAGAGGAGGCGTGCAAGCTGTGCATGACACAGAGCGCAGTTGTGCTTGAAGCAGGCCGACCATGTGGTGACCAGCGGTTGGTCTGCCGGACGTGATGATGCACGCGTTACGGCAGGGCTCTGAGAGTACATGGGAGGCTCCTGGCCGGCTTGCGTGTAGACAAAAGACAGGAACTAGGACTCTAGTTTAGCTGTAGTTTGTGATAACCACGTGGAGATGAAGCGGCTGAGTCTTGTCTCAGCACCTGTGAAGTTGATAGCGCTGAAATGAGTGGGTCATGGGCCGAGGCAACTTGCCCAAATGGCATGTGGGTCAAGAAGTGCGAATCCTTGGAGGGAGGAGGCCACCCTGTTAGCCTCTGATACAAAGAGTTTCAGTTGGCATGTCAAGTGGTCTACCTAGCTTTGGTGTTATTGCTGAGACTACATGCTGACCATACATGTGCTAGCCACACATATGCGAACTGTCAATGCATGAGCTGTGAACTTGTTCACCTGACTTAGCTTGCGGAAAAGAACATGCGAAACACTGAAAGCCCAAACTGCAGCTTGCTGAAATGCCCTACTAGGATGTTGTAAATTTCTTTAAATGCGAACGTGGTCTGTCTTTGCATGCAGCAACAGCAACAGCAGCAGCGGCAGCAGCGGCAGCAGCGGCGGCGACAGCCGCAGCAGCACCATCACCACCATGATCACTGCCACCGCTGCCACCACTACTGGAGACCACTACTACCACAAATACCATCACCAGCAGCACTAACACCAAAGACCAGGCGACTCTGATGGTGTCCTCCCCAGCGACGATGCCAAGTCTTGCACGGCGCAGGCCTCCTCGAATGGCAACCCATCCAAAGACAATTTGGCCCTTGGAAGGTGGCAGGCATTAACAGCTTTAGCTATAACACGCATGTTCAATTTGCTGCAGTTTCCTAGCAAGATGTTGTTGGTGATACATGTAAGCCGTGAGAGGCAGAACTTCGGTGCAAACATCAAAATTGTTGTAGTTTCACGTAAACTGCTCTCTTCTCTACGTGTTACAACCGCAAAGATAACCAATGGTCATGTATCTCTGCTGACTCAGACCGTGGAAGCTACGCCAGCAAGTGAACACTCAGAATAGGAGTCAGGATAGTTAGACCTGCTGGAAGGAAAGAGATGTCCTGTCTGTCGAGGAATGTTGATCGCGAAAAACTATTCAAGAGCTAGCTTGCAACCCCTGACTCTAAGAGATGTCGCTTGGGATTAGTGCGCAGCGAGCCCAGGTAAGAAGGTTAAAGCACGTGCGCACTGCTCGACGGTGAAGACCTCCATTGCTAAGACGCGTGGAGCAGGCACAGGATTTGGGATGTCACGGGTTATCCCCGTAGCAGCTTGAGTAACTCGCTTGGGCAGAGGGCTTGTGCTGCGTCTGGTAGGTTTCGTGATAAGCTCAGGAGCTCTGCCACTTCTGGATTAGTAGAGACAGGTTTACGAAGGATACGGTAGACAGTAGACCTCACAGTTATGCATGCGCTCTGCTGGTCGACAGCGGGCTTCTAATCCGCAAAAGTCACAGCATGCTACATGCCACACAGCCGGTTCCTACCCAAGAATCTTGCTTGTCCAGGCACTCCAACTGCGAAGTGTGGTTACAAGACCTTGTCCTGCACCTGCAACACTGCTGCCTGCTTGCAAGTTGTAGTTCAGGCTAGAGCCCTGAAGTGCAATTCTTTGCCCTCAGCATCGTTGACGTGTTGAATCGCATGCGCTGGCCATCTAAGTGGTGGCATTCCAGCAGCAAGTGCAAGTCGGGACGGCGCCGTAACCATGCCTCGACCTTCAATCCGTCTGGCAAATCTTGTTCACGTGCCTGGGCCACGCATTTGGAACGTGTGCTCAGCACAGCAAGACGCGAGGCATACAGCTACCAAGGAGGGTAGCATATCCCAAACTGTTTTCAAGCTCAGCCTGCTGCCATTTCAGGATCAGTCCGACGCAGAGGGCATTCTGACATCTACGCGATCTGCAAGGATCGCCATTGGCCCCATTCAATTTATTGACTTGGGCTTATTTCAGCTTTTCATGGCGCATGGATGGACCCGGGAGGTCCACAACAAGTGTTCAATAGCGTTATGTTTCCGGACCGCTCCCAAAAAGCAAGTTGCACTCAACATGCTGAGGCGGAAGCCCAAACCCCAAGTGTGCTCGAAGAATCATCCTGTAGAGGGTCGCGCCAATGGCATCACAGCACTCTGATTAGCTACTCTTTCTCTGCCTCTACTTGTGGCTTCCCTCAGCTCCAACGCTTAAACTTCTGGCAGTTCGTGGGCTGCAAGACGGGCACTGGAAGCGGCTGCAAGACCTGCGTGCCCGCGTGGCAGCGCGAGGCCTTGTGGGGGAAACCAATTTTAATGCTTGTATTGGTCGATTTAAGGCAGTTGAAGCAATGCTTTCAGTTTCCGACCCCATTGTAGCCATGCTACTGGTAGCATGCCATCTGCAATTTGCTGGCAGTCGGAAGCCCACTGTGCCTCCTGCAACGCGGGCTACACATTGATGGGCACAAAGTGCGAGGTGGGCGGACATGGGAGTGATGCGTTTTAGCTCATCCTGCTGCATCTTGACGTGATTGGTTGAATTGACGTATGAGTCAATGCGGATACGTGAACAGCTAGCAATTTGAGTAGAACCTCGGGGCATCTGACGGCCCTTCATGCTGGAAGGTAGATCTGGCAGTTGTTACTTAGTAACCCTACAAGTAACTAGTAGGCTGGACTGTGATCGGTGACAGCAGGCCATCCCCAAGTGTGAAACGGGCTCCGGAGGCAAGTGCAAGACCTGCAAGGCGGGACGCACCACCAAGAAAACACATTTCTACAAAACTGTACTTGGCCAGGCAAAGAAAGACCGCAAGGCCCGGAGAGAGAGGGAAGAGAAGAGAGCGGAAGGGTCCAGCGTGTTTTTGATGGGTTGCAGCAAGCTTGTTGCCAGGTTGTCAACCACTGTGCCAGCTGCAATGCCGGATATGAGCTGAAGGACAAGACCTGCAAGGCAGGAGTCAAAATCAGCACAGCTTGAGTGCTGCGTGCTGTCGAAACCCTCTCTACGCTGGTTTCAATGTCAATGCCCTTGGTAAGGCTGTGGCTTGCCCTGGGAACTCTGTCGGCAAAAACGTGCCATCTGGATGCACCTGCAATGCAGGTGCGCAATCACTCAAGTTTGTCTGGGAAGGAGCAAAGATTCTAGATTTGCTTTCGTATCATTTACACTTGCATTGGGGACGGCTGCCACGACCACATCCGGTGACTCCGCAGGCTACTCCGGAACTATCAGTGCGACCTCATCATCGCCGTTCTACTCAGGCATGTCCCGGTCGAGCTGCTGTCTGATGTTTAGTTGCGGTAATTACGAGGGACTTCGGCAGGGTGCATGTTTTTGATGCTATGGGGGAACTTGTTTATGGGTTGCCGATGTGCCGCTTGCGTCCTCACAGGCCACTTGCTCAGTATGCGAGCGCACCCACCAGCGTCACGTTCAAAGAGCACCTTCCCGAGGAATCCTGAGAAGTGAAGTAACCTTGATGTCAGGTACCTGCAATGCCGTTGCCTGTCCAGCTGGCTCAAGTGGTACAGATGCAGCCTGGTTGCACTGCATTGCACCATCAGCAAGTCAAAAAGCCATCCTTTTCCAAATTGACCAGATGCCGTTGAGCCCTTGAGGTTCCTTCTGGGTGCACATGCAACAAGGGCCACCAAGGCACAGTGTCTGCTAAGACAGGCGCGACAGGGTCTGATCACGGCAAAGTACCTTGCGTTCAGAACCTCCAAACTTTTTGATGCATAGTCGGTTCAATCTTTGAGATTCACCGGCCAGTATTTCTTAATTTTTTTGGAGTTGGCGGTGTCCTGTATTCTCGAAGCCAAAGGCCTGTACCAGCACACTCTTGTTCGAGTGTAAAGAAAGTTGGACAACTTCCAAGAGAGGAACTTTGTGGCTCTTGAGATGTCTTGAGTCATGATGTCCAGCATGCTGGAGGTGGAAGCAGTAACCCAGCACCAGCACGAGAACTGTGCTGCGTTTGCGCGATCAAAAACTTGCAAGTCTGTACGTGCTGTGACAGCAGGCTCACCATTCTACACGGGCAGCTGCAAGGCCCGTTTGACATCAGCTTCCGACGTAAGAATGTACAGCAATGATGCTGTGGAAGGAGAAGTTCCTGTTAAATTAGGGGAAACATACCTTTCCCGAGGCCGTGAATAGCCAAGTAATGCCGGCAACAGGGAGAGGTCTGGACACAAATCAGATAAACCTGCCTTCAACAAGCTGTTCGCACATCTTTGCTGTCAAGGTGGTGGCATGCCCAGCGAACTCTGCTGGCAAAAACGTGCCATCAGGATGCAGCTGCGATGCAGGCGGATGGCTTTGGCAAACGAGAAAGAGAAGCAGCCTTTTTTGCTGCCTCTTTTGCTTTGCACAATCCTCCAAACCCTTGCGTAGACTTGAACACCACGTGCATGAACTGCTGCGGATCCGAAAGGTATTGGGTTGGAGTGTTCAGCCCTGTTGACCGCGGAAGGCTACTCTGGAACTATCCGTGCCACCTCGTCATCGCCGTTCTACTCAGGCATGGCCCGGTCGAGCTGTTGTCTGTTGTTTGTCATGACGTCTTGATGCAACGCAGCACTTCTTGTAAGGGTTGCTGATGTCCACTTTCCTTTATTTGCCATGTCCTTGCCTCCCATTCGTTGAATATGCCGATGTACTCATAAGCGTCATGTGCAAAGAAGCAAAACTTGCTCGAGGGTCGACTGAGCACCAGTGGAGCTCCGGAGGTTCTTGCAGCGCTGTCTCCTGTCCGTATGCTTCATCCGGCTCGAAGGCTGCTTGGCTGCTCTGGGCTGTGGATTCATAGGCATAGACAGGCTTGGGGCAGGCTATTTGTGGCTTTTACTGCAGGGGTTAAGCGACACAACGAGGTTCCTTCTGGATGCAGCTGTTTCAATGGCTATGAGGGCAGTGTGGAGGCCAAGACAGGTGCGGCCTGTAATCCAAGCCACGCCACTTTTGCTTGCTACTTTCAGCTCCGTTTTGCGCATTCCGGCCCTGCATTTGTGAGCAAAGTTAGGATCCAAGTCGTTGTCGCTGTCGGCAATCATGTCTCTTACAGAGCAGTCAGACGCGCTTCGGGTGAATGGCGCCCGGAGTTGCGGAGCACGATGTCAAAGACCATGCAAGGGCAAAGGGGCTTGCTGCAGATTGTAGCCTCATTCGGAAGTGTTCTTCTGTTTGTGTGTAGTGGCAGGCACGCCGTTCTACAAGTACAGCTGCAAGGTGGGGAGCGGGTCTCATGTCATGGCCAGGAGTTGCAGGTTTCAAGAGCTTCCCCTGTTAGCAGCAGTGAGCGCACATCCCATGACACCTGTTGCCAGTCTGTGCTGATTGGGGCCACGATCGCTTTGCATGGAACCACGCACAACCGATTCGTACGGATGAATGGCTGCCTGGCAGATTTTGATGAGGCAGAACTGCAGTTATCAGGTTCAGGTTGACTGAGATCTAGGTGTTGAGTCAGCGCATGGAACCTAGGTGACAACATGGATCGTACCGGAGCCAGGTCCAGCGCAGCTGAGATGCAGTTAGGGCATCGCCTGAAAACCCCATGTGGAAGTTTTTAGATAAAACGACCACGGCTGGCTTAGCAGACCTTCAGCGAAAGGTGGCGATGGTGCTTGCGAAAGGAACTTTGGATTTCGCGAAAGAAGTATCGTAAGCTATAGTTTCGTTACTTGCTCAAACACGCTTCCGCGAAAGCTCGCGATGGGGTGCGCGAAAAGAACTTTGGATTTCCGCGAAGAGGTCATGTTGTTATGAGGGTAATATTGGGCAACGCCCAGTTAAGAAAGATTGGAAAAGAAGATCTTCAGAATCTTAAGAAACATGCATTGCATTGCTTATCATTGCTTTGCTTTGCTAAGGATAAGCTCCCTGATGACAAGAGCTTCTTCAAAGTTGTAGATGCTGGAAGAGGCAGGATCCCTTCTTTATTCAAGCTTGACTGGAGGCTGAGATACTGCTGCTGTCCTCAACCTCCATCTAATGCGCGCATCCTGGCCATGGCGATCGCTTTGCCTACATCTTCACTAACCCTCCTTGCTGCCCAGTCTCATGACCTTGCGCTCGTTTGTGTTGCGACGTTTTGAAGGTTTTCTTCCCAGGAGCTGCAAAGCACCAACATCGCTGGGTCAGTATTGCTCCAGCAGTGTAAGGCCATCGCAGACCATGGCCTTCAACTTTCTAGGTGGCTTCAAACTCCGTAAGAAGCATCCTGGTCTTGGCGATCTTGCAGATTGTGCCGTGCCATTGATTGATGCATCACTAGGTGCCAGAAATTCTAGAAACACCTGTAAGTTAGGGATGGCTGCGAGGACGCGTTTGCATACCTGGTGCTGCATTTTATTGTGTGTTTTTTTTGCTTCTTGCAATGGACTTTACTGACTCTCCATCCCAACAAGATTCGCTAGACTGCCCTTGCCGTGTTGGATTTGCAGCAGACGTGTTACAGCCATGTCAAGATTACGTCCTCTTCTGAAGTTTGTAATTTAGCCGCTAACGCGAGACTGCTTCGGCAAAGGTTGTCATACATGCGCTGCATGCTCAAACCAAACAAGTTGCATAACCTGCACCGCAGCTCTTGCCTTCCCTGCACCTCTCCCGCAACCGCCCTTCCCCACCAACCCAGCCCCCCCCTCATTTCGGCCACCAAATCAATGTTCTTGGCCTGAGGGGGACCTTGCATTTCAGGACCCACGCAACCACCAAGAACCCCCCCCAAAAACCAGCTGATCCTAACCTTTTGAGATCGGGTAGTTAACTTACTATCCTAGTCTCCGGACTTGGATCTAAACGCGCCAGGCCTCCGGCCTCAGCGGATTTGCACTACTCTTGCATGAGCGGCAAAGCTTGAGCGAAAGCCAAAGATAGAAACTCGTGTTTTGCATAATGGAGGCAGGATTGGTCTCTACAACGCCCGGGCCCAGAGATACGTCCGAATGCGAGACAATCAGGACATGGTCATGAGAAGCAAAGAGCCAGCATATGCGCAAGTCCAAGAATTTCTGAGCATGTGCCTCATATAGTTCCTAATATGGAACCCATGTCCATCTATTATCTGGTAAGATTTACCGTAGCTCATGTAATTTATATGAACACAGCTGCATGCTGGCAACGCCAGCCAAGTCACCGAGCTCCATGCCTGGAGGACATGGATGCCCACACCGTGCGAAAGAGTTGGGAGAGTGCCTTTGCTGTTTAGAAGGTTTGATGGTTTGCAACCGCTGCGTTGCCCAGACGGAGAGAAGAGTTGCATGTGCAGCTGTGAGGATTAGTCAGTTTGATGATGGAGTCCATGAACGAAGCGACGAAACAAGAGAAATAATTGTCAACAGTTTGTAATTGCCACTAGAAATTCTGCAGGCTTCTCTGTGGTGGATGCCGGCAAGGGTGAGATTGCCTTGCACTCTGAACGCTGGAATCGCTTCATCCGTATGCGGGACAGTGCCAACATGGTTGCTGAGCTGCATTCAGAAAGGCGGAAGGCAGCTCGTTGTTGAAACTGGCAGTCTTTGATACGTGAAGAGTTTAACGGGCTCCGCATTTTTTGCAGGACGTGACCCCTCAAGTTAGACAATGCCACAGCCCCAAAAGCAGCTTGTGCGCAGCGTCGCATCTTCTGCAATCACGAGCTCGGCAGTGCGTCCTCACTCGGTGGAATCGCTTCCGACTTGTGGTTCCCACAGGAATCAGAGGATTTAATCCATGAAGTAAGACCCTCTCTTTTTCATTTCATGCTTGTGCAGGAGACCTGAGATACCTGTAGTAGACCTTATTTGTTGCAAAGGGTTTTGATGCCATTGAGAAAGCACGTCACAACTGTGGTGCGTTCAGCTGAAGCTGCCGGTCCAAGTAAACTTCTGTCCTGGTCTTAAATAAGAGGCAAGGTAAGCTCAACCTTGGGGTGGCGTTGCTTGCATGATGGTCACTTTTAAGGTGTTTCATGTATGTACATTTGGTTAAGCAGTGTGGCCGGGATGCGTTTGCTGAGTTTGCGGACTCTTACAATGGGTTAAGAGAAGATGATTGAAGGTGGAGGCCTTGACATAGAGGTTTGGTTGGCCTGCTAACTTGCTCTCGGCCCCAGTGGCACCCAAAACCCGCTGTCAAGGCCGCATGAGTACAATCCATGGCACGTACCTGTAAGAAACTTCAAGGATGCCAGCGCCACCAAGAAGCCCAAGGACAGCCTTGGTGCATTTGCCTTGCCTGTGCTTGCAGACACATGGACCAAGTAGCTGACCAAAACACTTGGGATCTACGTGGGACGCACGCCCCGAAAAGTACTGTGACCCTTCTTTTTGCCACATCCCTCATCTGGCCCTACCTACTTGTAACCTTTTCGCGTCTCATTGTTTCGCCTGTTGCCCCACTATCAACATCCTCCCAGTACGTCAGTGTCATCCCAGGCTGACTAGAAGGGCTTTTTCCAAGATCCAAAGATCTCTTAGCAACCCGGTAGTAGCCCGGTAGTAGCCGGTGAGCCAGGACCTTCCCACTGGCTGGACCTGGGAGCGCTTCAAGGTTGTCCAGGCATCGGCCCAGGGCGCGAAAGAGAGAAGAGTTTCTTCAAGCTATGGGTCCTCTTGTTAGGGTCTCCTAAGTGAGAGAACCTTCGGTTTCTGGGGTAAATGTACATGTTGGTAGTAGCAGCAATCGAGGCAGCATTGCAAACAGTAGTGCAGAGAAGTGGCCTATGGAGAATTGTCAGACTGTATTACATTGTATAAAACCTTGACCGAGGTGTGTTCTTAGCTGAGCTTGCGCTCCGTCAGGTTCTACTCAAGCCCGGCAGCGAGATCGCCTTGCACAACTCAATTCACAACCGATTCATGCGAATGTGGCTCATCCCTATTGTGCGGCAAGAAGATAGTCCACCATGGTTCATGCTACATACACCAAAGTCAAGGGCAAACATTGTGGAGAACAGATTTTTCGTGAATTCTTCAGGGAGGACTAGCAATTGAGTAAGATGGCATTTTCCAGGGGTCCCGAGTCCCCCCAGAGCCGATGCTCAACTCTTTCAGGATGCTTCCTCAAGTCAGATGGCACCAATTTGTGGTGGCCCTTTTCGTCAAATTGTGCTTCTCGCGCCAGGGAAGCCGGGCATGGGAGCTATATCAACTTGGATGCTACTCTGACGTGTGTCCCCGTGAGTCTTATGGAGAGGAATGCCATCCTCACCATTTCATGTGATAATTCTGTCGGTACGATTGTGGACGAGCAGTGTTGTCCATGGTTCTCTACTTTTAGCAGGCGTGTCCTCATTTCTATGAGTATTCCAGGCTGCAATCTTCTTCTGCTTGTCATGCAGTTTTCTCGAGTTGTGCTCGGTACGATGATCATTATTCTTGAGATTTGGCCGTTGCAATCCGGCTGCTGTTGTGTTTTTCTTTTCAACTTGCTGGCGTTCTTCCTACAGTCCAGTGTATCTCCTGCGCGTCTCATTATCGTTCTGGCAGTTCGTGAAGATCAAAACCCAAGCTTGCAGAGGGTTCTGAGTTTTCAAGCGCCCCGGCCCAAAACATGATCACTACCACTGGCAGTTTCGACCGAGCATCCAGTCAGGCATGGGGACGCAAACAAGATGGATTCTTCAGCTGTGAAGCCAGGCTGCAATTCCATTGGTCAAAGCAGCAGAGTATACAAAGTCAAGTACGGGCAATGCAGTGAAGCGGTGGCACTCCGGGCTACCAGTTGAGTAATGTTGAGTGCAGGATTTCCTGTTTTTTGACGCCCACCCTTCTCTGCTGACACATGAGAGTGGGCTTCAATCAAGGGAATCTCCCCCGCCACCGGTTAGTTTCCGAAATCCATGAAGTATCATTGCAATGCCCCTAGTTCTAACATACTGGATCGATGCTGCCATAAATCCATAATTGATGGGGATCCGTTCACTGATACCCAGATCATGTCACTAGCCGGATCAGCAGTTTTTAAAGGCATCAACAGCATGATCATTTGAGGTCAGTAAAAATACCAGACCAAGGAAGGACATCAACAAATTGCCGGATGGCTGGACCTGGGAGCGATTTAAGGCAGCTCTTGTGCTCCGAAACAGATTCGTAATCAAGTTGTCTGCAGCTTTGAACATGGCTTGTGACAGGTCGTGGATGCTGGCTTTGGTCAGGTTGCACTCCACAGCAGGATTCACAATCGCTTCGTGCGAATGTGGGACTCCGTGCCGTGTCTGTCAAGTTCAGGTAAGTGAGAGTTTTTTGGCAGACTTCGGTTTGGGAGCTTTCAGCTGTCAGTGCAATATCTCACCAAGGACATGGATCGAAGTTCGAGGAAGAATGCAGGTGATCTGCCGCTCGGCAGAGCTCATCGATCGCTGATCACTGGACAGCAAGTAACTGAGCCATAGGCCATATGCTGTATCGTCTACTGGCTTTTGCCTCTGAACCGAGTTTGCAGGGCGACTGACATTGTGATATTGCGATTGTGGGAATGCTCCAACACGGCTCATCTTTCACTTCGTGTTGCTATGCGTGACTCATCCTGGAGCCAGCACATGAGAGCTGAGCACCGACGATCAAAAGCTGAAAGCTCAAACATTTGCAAGAACAATGCACAAACCATGGCGGGTAACCTAAAACCGAAGGCTCTGACCGCTAGACCGGATGTCAATCTTCCTAAGACTCCCAGGCCAAAAGGGTGGTGGGCAGAGCGCTTCACCGTCGTTGACTGCGGTGGTGGCAAGGACAGCTCAGCAGCTTCGCCTGAGGGTACTACTTTCTGTACAGCCCTGAAGAATATGAAAGCTAGCTGCACTTATTGGCTACTGGCTGCTGATTGTGGAACTCGTATTGGCAGGAGGTAGGATTTTGCAGAAAGGAAGCAAACCTACCCTAAAGCTGAGGAAGAGCGGCAGATGTGTCTTCGTCTTGAACAGTCAGACCTGCTTCGGACATGTCCCTGCAATGCGGCAGGTTGCGTTCCACAGCGCCCGCTTCAACCGTCCCATGGCTTGGAGGGCTCCAGGGTTGGGATGCGGAGACTTAGCAATGCACAGCCATCAACTGACGACGTTTGCTAGTGGTAGTGTACTGAGCACGTGCGGGCACACATTTGTGGGGTTTTTACCTTGAATCATTCGCTTGTTTGCCGGAATTTCCGCTCATGCCATTTAGCCGACTTAGCCCCGCATGGTGGGCTCGCGACTTGCAAAAGAGATTCGAACCCGCTCTCTTCTGCAAGGCTTCATTCGCATGAACCACGCCGACATGGATCGCAGTGGCGTAAAGGAGCCTTACCAGTTTTGTTGGCAAAGTTTGAAGTCACCTGCAGCTGAGCTGGTGTTCTCTCCGGAAAGTCGCCTGCCAATTCAGATCAAATCACAACTGCTGAGCTGAAGCAATGATTGGCCTGCTTACAACTGAGAAAGAGTCGGCCCAGCTACGTGAAATACATCACAACTCATCATGCTTCATACTTCAAGGATGCTGATGAGTTGCCGTCTGGCTGGACCTGGGAGTGCTTCAAGCCCATTGAGGCGGGGCTTAGGCTTTGGGGACCGAAACCGCATTCTTGGCTCCCAAACTTCTAACACGTTTCTTGTTGTTCTAGAATCTTGACTACCAATGGATGCCAATCATGTCTTGTTTCGGGATCCTGGCAGGCGTTCACTTGCAAGACTGGATCTGGCAGCCACTGGGCCTCACTGGGCATGTTGTATCCCCCCATGAAACTGGAGCCCCAGCCTGAGGATGTTGCTTTTGCCGAGGCAGTTGCAAGTCATGTGTGGCTCCTGGCTCGCGAACAGCCCGGCTCACAGATGCAACATGTTACTGTTTTGACAGCATGGAAGGCATTCACTGAAGTCAGCAAGTTGCAGACCTGTGATACCACGTTGTTCTGGGTTCTTAAATCCAGCCGTCACAGGCAAGGAAGCTTGCAACTGTGCGCTACTGCTTGGGTACCAAAAGCGCAGTGTTTCTCGACAAATGCTGCGACATCATGCAGCCACTTTGAGGTAATTTTTGGGTGTTGGCGCCAAGTGTGCATTTGTGCCCTAGACCCTCCAAGATCCACAGTCCCTTTCATGCCTGACTGTCATTTGACCACAACAGCTTCAGCAAATCTGAAGCAATAAAGTGGTAGCAAAAAGCGCGCACGAGAGAGTTTTCACAAAAGTCTTGGAGCTTGCGATAGTTCTCATCTACAGATTCTTTTGGCGGGTGGAACTTTTTCCGGATCAATATTTAAAGGGTTTGCTCGGTTGTTCATGTGCGCTCAGGGCGGGGGAGGGGGACCCCTCCTCCCCGGCGATAGTTGATGCAATCAATAGCAACGCTCCCCTATCTCCCGCCCCCAAAAAACACTTCGAAGAATTGGTTCAAGAGAGGCCCCCCCTCCCCTTAATGCTTGCCACAACAGGCCACAGATCACTGCAGCAGCTGCAACGCTGGCTTTGCTTTGGTCGGTCGGGTCTGCAAGGCCGGAGGCTGTGCTTGGTGGTGCATTTTGTGCAGCTACAAATCTATCAGCAAGAAAGTTTTGACGGAGTGCTGACGCTTGCGCCTCTGAAGCATAAGATGATACGGCCGAAACCTGGGAGCCCGACCTTGCTGAGTCGTAACTTTGCCGTTGGGCTCAAGTTTGCCTTCAACGTCCCTTGTCTCCAGTCCTGATTCCCTGAGATCCCTTGCACCATGGCTTCCGTGAAGAGCATGCTGGCCGCCGGACTCCTTGCTGCGCCTTGCGCAGACGCCTTCGTGGCCCCTGGAGTCTCCCAGGTCCAGGTTCAGGGAGCAACGCTTCGGGGCTCCGCGGGCATGCAGTCTGAGTCCTGCTTCGGACCGAAGTCCGCTTTGGCTGCTGCGTCCGCAGGCGCAGTGGCGCTGAGCTTCATTGGAGCGC